ACACACACACACACACACACACACACACACACACACACACACACACACACACACACACACACACACACACACACACACACACACACACTGATCATATTACAGTCCATTACTGTGATTGACAGCGGCTCCATCAGCTGTCAATCTCATTTAGGGAACATTACTTAATTCAAAATTACATTTTAACACAATTTGAACCTTAGTGTCTCTACTTTAAAGAGTCCTCTCCTGCTGATGTTCAGGTGTATATCAGTGTGTAGTGTCTCTACTTTAAAGAGTCCTCTCCTGCTGATGTTCAGGTGTATAGCAGTATGTAGTGTCTCTTCTTTAAAGAGTCCTCTCCTGCTGATGTTCAGGTGTATATCAGTATGTAGTGTCTCTACTTAAAGAGTCCTCTCCTGCTGATGTTCAGGTGTATATCAGTATGTAGTGTCTCTACTTTAAAGAGTCCTCTCCTGCTGATGTTCAGGTGTATATCAGTGTGTAGTGTCTCTACTTTAAAGAGTCCTCTCCTGCTGATGTTCAGGTGTATATCAGTATGTAGTGTCTCTACTTTAAAGAGTCCTCTCCTGCTGTTGTTCAGGTGTATATCAGTATGTAGTGTCTCTTCTTTAAAGAGTCCTCTCCTGCTGATGTTCAGGTGTATATCTGTATGTAGTGTCTCTACTTTAAAGAGTCCTCTCCTGCTGATGTTCAGGTGTATATCAGTATGTAGTGTCTCTACTTTAAAGAGTCCTCTCCTGCTGATGTTCAGGTGTATATCAGTATGTAGTGTCTCTACTTTAAAGAGTCCTCTCCATCTTTTCACCCTGTCTGAGCCCAGTCTGCTCTGATTGGCTCTGTTGTCATTGGTCAACCAGCTTAGAGATGTCCCGCCCCTTATATAGTATATATTTCTTTTTAGGGCATAAAGTAAACTCTTTCGTTGGACTGATGGGGAAGAGAAGCGAAGAGGAGCCGGGTAAGTTAAACACCCATATCTCAAAATGTATTTATAAAAGCTGGTGGTACAGGAATGAGTCCTAAATAAGTCAGCGGTTCATCTGGAAGTCAACGGTTTTCTGAATGTGTTTTTGGCTGAAATAAGGTCTGTGGTTAACACAAGCTGAAGAGATTTTAACGTGTTGATCTATGAGATGATATAGAAGTAAATAAATGTGAAGCGCCAGCGTGTGAGTACATCTTAAATACATTAAAACATTATGAACGTGTTTTGATGTAAAAACAAAGTATTTTCTCTATATTTCACAAAATCAGCGTCTCTTAATAGTTCTAGAAACTGTAGTTTTCTAAAGACCTGAAATCTTTAATAATGAGAAACAAACAGTATACGCTGGACACTGCTATTAAACGGTGCTATATCCTATGCTTAAACAACATACTAGTACTGTGTGTGTGTGTGTGTGTGTGTGTGTGTGTGTGTGTGTGTGTGTGTGTGTGTGTGTGTGTGTGTGTGTGTGTGTGTGTGTGTGTGTTAATGATCTCCTTCTTTGTCTTCCTGCAGATTCCTATGACTGGAACACATTACAGACGTACGATAAGCGCCGTTAACATCATCGAAAACTCCCCCAAAAATCCAGACGCTGCTTTTGTTTTTTCTCCAAACTGTGTGTAGCTGTTAGCCGAATAAAAAAAGATTCCGTTTCCACATCGTAGTGACGTAGCAGTGCTGTACCTGTGCCAGTTTCTTTAAAGGAGGAGGGGGATTCTCGATGTTAGCATTACCTGCCATCCTGTTGTTGTGGAGCGTCAAAGCTAAAGGCTGAGTGGCTGAAGACTGCACTGCCAAAGTCACTGTAATAGTGCCTCATCTGTTTTCACTGATTGTTCTTTAACTCAGCACACTCTTTTTAAAGGGCCTCCACCTGAACACATGGTGTGTGATATGACCTGTGTGTGACAAATATTAAAATTATTTTCTTTACTGGTTCAAATCCAGCCTGCAGCGCGTGATTCCTTGTGAGAAAATAACTTGTTTTAAAAAATTGGCGAAAGGTGGATTCATTTTAGCAGAAAGTAGAATAACAGCAACACAAAGTGGAGTCGGATATATTTGTTCAGGTTTTACTTTGTCCACTTCCTGTAGATTAATTGTAATGTTCAACACTTAAATTATGAATATGTTTAGATTACATTTAATTTTCTTTCTTATTAAATTATCTAGAAAATAACCTGTTTTAAAGGTGAGGTAACAGCGCCCTCTGGTGGCAAAAGGAGGATTTATTTCAGCAGAAATTAGAATAAAACAGCGACAAAAATGAGAATTACATATCATTTTGCAGGTTTTACTTTGTACACTTCATGTAGATTACTTTTAATGTTCAACACTTAAATGATGAATATTTTTCGATTACATTTCTTATTAAATTATCTGGAAATGTAATTTAATGCATTGGTAAATCCCCCTAACAGCAACAGTTAGTAGTAGAAGAAATGGTAAAGCGATAAAATGACGGCACTTAAATAAATACTTAATCTTAAAAAGCCAACAATTATCACATTTTCTTCATAATTTTAGGCTTTTAATTTAATTGCATTTTATTTCCAGGTTTTACTTTGTCCACCTCCTGTAAATTCCTGATTACCTCTTGTTTTAAATGTAGTGCTACAGCGCCCTCCGGTGGCAGGACATTTGAACCCATCTGTGGCAAAGGGTGGATTTATTTGAGCAGAAATTTGAATAAAACAGCAAAATAAGTAGAATTAAAGTCAGATGATAATGTGAGAAAGGGACTGCACTAAAAACAAGTATGTATTAATAATGAATTATTTGATAAAACAGCCTCGCAATAAACAAATTGAAGCTAACTCGAATAAAGAAATGTAATGCTTAAATGGTGATTAAATGTCCTTTTATTTCCAGGTTTCACTTCGTCCACTTCCTGAAGCCAGTGTCAATGGCAATACCCACACGTGAACACAAAGAGGTCCTTACAGAAATCACAAAACATAGATAGAGCAGCCGTGAATATAAAACCTGAAACCCAAATGAACACGTGAGAAAATATCAGATCATCTAGTTTCCACATTGTAGTTAGCTTCAAGTCTACTTTTGATTTTCAGCTTGTAACCCAGAACTCTGATCTGCAGAATGAGAATATGAAGCTGCTCTCAAGACGGAGACACATCCTGCAGATTCAAAACAAAGGAGGGAAAATGTACGACACCAGGCGATTTGGCGGTTATCGATATATCTATAGGTCTATATTGATTTCTGAGTCGTGGTGAGTGAGATTTAGTTTCTTGTGTGTCTGTTGGTCTGATGTTCGGACACACTGAGTCAGAAGTAGGGTCCTCTCACTGCTCCTCCTTATCGGGGGTGTAGAAGGCGAGGGTGCGTGCCGAGGGGTCGCTGCTCTGCGTCCAGCGGGGGAGCCAGTAGTGAGGGAGCCACTGGGATCGACCCGGGAATCGCTGCTCGAACACCTGACGGAAATAATAGGCCTCTTTGGAGCGGGGGGGGTTGTGAGGAAACGTCTGGGGGGCTTTCTCCATCTGATCGTCGTTCACCTGAGAGGAGGAGGACAACAACAACAACAACAATAAACACACTAAAGAAAGTATAAACATTAGAGGCTGGTGCTTTCTATGTTAGAATAATACATTTATAATTCTGCTTTCATACCTTTATGGGTATTTGGAAACATACAAGCTTTTGCTCAATAATAAAATAAATAATAATAAAAATAAATAAAAGATTAAAAATATACATTTTAAAAATCGTAATAATAATGATTAAAATAATAATAATAAAATATAATTACTAATACAAAAATAACAAAAAAATGGTTATAATAATACAAAATATAATTTAAATAATAATAATATTGCATTCTTAATAACAAAAAAAGATAATAAAAGTGTTTATGTAAAAGTTATAATAAAAACAAGAATAATTAAAAAAAATGAATAAGAAATGCCATGAAATTGCGCTATTTTCTGATTTGGTTATTGTCAAATTCAACAGTAGTTAGTGTAACAGTCACAAACAAACAAAACAACAAGCTGTATGCCCCCGGTCAATATTTGAATGATTGTATTTTTTTATCTGAACTGTGTTTCTCCCAACATCAGACATTTCATCTCCCAGCTAAATGTAAAATACAAAGAGTCTCGTACCATGTCCTCCAGGTGCTCCTGCAGACAGACGTACCACGACTTCTTCACGGACATCACGCCGTCACTGAAGGCCTCCTTACGCCTCCACAGGATCTCATCTGGGATCAGACCCTGGTCTCTGAACGAGTCCCTCAGGAGGTGCTTCTCCACCCCGTGCTGCAAGAGGAACAAGAGAAGATATTTATCTGTATTAGTCCTTTTATTGAACATGTAGAAACAAAACAAACAATAATAATAACAATAACAACAAAGAGAAGCTAAATATTTTAAAAAACTTTCAAGGTATAAAAATATAGATTCTTCAAAAGTTTCCGTCATGTTCAAAAGAGAAGAAGAAGAAGAAGCTTTCAAACGTTCCTGGTTCTTCTATTGTAGCATACAATGTTCATGCAAATAAAAGATTAGGTCATCAAAGGTTAAACAAAACAACCAAAAACAAATCACTTTTAGAACGACAAGAAATAGCAAGCATGAGTTCACCGCTCCTGCTCAGAACATTCAGGGTCGGGTTTCTAAATAAGAGTTTTAGTTTGGATAAAGTGTCACAGTATTTCAGTCAACAGCAGGGGGGTATACTACGAAGCAGGATGTTCTCTTAGCGGCTAACTTCAGGGAAAGCTCAGGCTTTCCGGTCCTACGAAGCTGGTTCTCTTTTTAGCAGGCTAGATCTCCATGGTAACTGATGCTGAGCGGCTAACCTGCCCCGGAGCAGGTTAGGTTGCAGGCTAAGAGCTCAACTCAGTGAAAGCACTGCCTGCTGTGCAATCAGAGCTCAGTATGCAGAGTTTAAAGCGATCAAGTCATATTACAGAAGAAAGGAAATACAGAAAAGCTGCCGTTGCAGGAAAGACGGCCGGCAAAAATCACCGACTGTGTGAACGTGAACATTAATAGAATATCACCTCCCATCTTCAGAGCAATCTGACTATTATAACATTAGCGTTAAGAAAGCTTACTTAAATATCTGCCACAACATAAGTAACCGGATCAGAGTAACATTAAGTACAGTCCGCGGCATATCACATCATAATGTATCATATATCTNTTAATGTAAGTGTGCTGTTGATCTTCTTATCCAACTCTCCTGCCAACGACACACGCTACCATCAGTATATTTTCAAAACTTGTAAACAATCTACTTAGTTGAGAACTGTTAAATGTTAAAAATTCTGCGATTTCCTTTGTACTGGGGTTTTGGCATGAGGATCAGACAAAGCAATTCCTTTAATAACACAGTCAACTGGGGCTTAGGGAGAGTTGTGATGGGCTTTTTTCAGTAATAAATATTCGCTAGCATTATATACAGTGGCATTTTAACATACAGGCATCACTATCAACGAAAGATAGTAAAAAACACCCAACAGGTATACAGTACATTTTAACATGGGCATACTGCGTGACGAGTATCGAGCAGCTTAATGTAAAAGGCAGCGGCAAAGAGATATGTTTTCAGTCTCGTTTAAAATAGTAATGAGTTGTTCTGCAGACGTGCAAGATTCGGGCAGTTTGTTCAGATTGTCGGTGAGCATATAGCTAGAACGCTGCTTTCTCCATGTTTGTTCTTACTCTCGGAACGTAGCAGACCCGTCCCAGAAGACCACCTGAGGCACCTTGGACGGTTGATGATTAAAACTAGAATAGTACTTTAAATCAACTCTCGGCCGAGTGGAAGCCATGTGAACAAAGCTTTTGTTGTAGAGAAATAACACTCAGTACTCAATCCGATGTTGGATTGCATAGTCTGTGATATTAATTAGGATCCCCGGCACTTATGCTGAACTGAACAATTATAGATTTTTTAACAGTTTATACAATAACTTTTATTAAAAATGTCAGTATAGATCTTACTTATTTAAAGGTGCAAGTTTACTTAATTCGCAACTCATGTTTAAGAAAAGTACAAAGGTGTGAGCATAAAATTATACTTAAAGTATATTAAATTATGATCATTTTAAATAGTGCTACTATATGGTCGGATTATAATGTTTTGATGCATTAAATGAACATTATGTAATGTTAAAAGTCCATCCACAAGCAGCACTTGTTCAGTAAATGAACATGTTTTTAAGCGCTTTATACTGAGACATATGATTATTTTCTCTTAAGTTACCTCACTATGTTCATGGAAATGATCACCGTCATAAATAAAATTTAAATCAGGGGTGTCGAATCATTTCATCACATCAGCATTATTGTTGCGCTCAAGGCGGTTTTAACTTTAAGACTATATACAACAATACATATATGAAATATATAATATATATATAAGTAAGTGTTTATATAATATGACATTGATTGCCTCTGCATTGGATGATTATGGGTAGGGTAATAACTTCATAATAAATAGTCTGAAAAGCAGAAATCTAGGGTAAATAATTGCAAGTCTCCTTCAGCGAGATGTCACAATATGATTTTAAAAGAAAACCAAAATCTGGAGAAAAAAAGTCAAAAAAAGAAGTGACATTTGGAAAAAAAATCAAATTCTGAAGAAAAAAGGCATATTGAGATGGCATTGTGGGACATGTAGTTTACTGAGCACGTGCTTCTGTACGCGGCATGTAAACCGTATAATCACATATTATATTCTTTAGCCAAGCTTTGTGGGGCACAGAAAATGAAGTCAGTAATTTTTCAGTTGAATATATTTTTGATTCATTTCGCAATTATTTTTAATAAATATTTATTTCTATTTCACTTTTATACATATTTTGATAGTTTGAATACTTGTTTTTTTCAGTTTCAGATTTTACGTTTTCAGATTCAAAACAATTATTTTTTCAGTTTCAAATCTTATTTTTTTCAGGTTTCAATCTTTTTTTCGCCTTCAGATCGTTTTTCACTTTCAGATCTTTTTTTTTCGCTTTCAGATCTTTTTTTTTCGCTTTCAGACTTTTGACCCTGATATTGCTTCGGGGGGCGGGGCTTACCAAAGAGTAGTTTGGCACCCTGAGTGACAGCCCTCCCTCTGTCATGATGCCTTCATGGATGTTAGGTAGCGCAAGAAATACAACTACACACTTTCTATACACAATACTCCCGTGATTGGTGGTAAACAAAACTGATACCAGCATCAAAGTTCCGTTAAGCGAGCTGTTGAGCATCGTAGTTGGCAACAATCAAGGTATAAGAGCAATAAACTGTGCTAGAATCTGAAATCACGTATCCGCAATCAAGCGTTGTCCTTCCCCACTTCCACGTAGCTCCATGAACGCAGCATAGTATTGGCTTGGTTTTTGCGATCAGAATCAGAATACCTTTATTAGTCCCACAGGGGATACATTTACATTGTTACAGCAGACAAGAGCCAAAGACAGCTTAATGTTACCTAAAGCATGCATACAAAAAGTATTAAAGATTAAAAAAAGAAATTATATATATTTTTAAAGTTACACATTTTACATAATACACACCCTGTGACAGTTCTGCGGATTTAGCAGCCAGGTATATATTGCACAGTTTTCAACGGCATATATATATTGCACATACTGCAAATATTGCACATAGTTGGTATTTATCAACAAGAGGTGTTATAGTCTGTGTTGTTTTGTGCGGGGTCTACTAGGGGCTGTGCTGGTTGTATAGTCTGACCGCTGCAGGAAGGAAGGACCTGCGGTATCTCTCCGTGAGACAGCGGGGGATGGCGTCAGGTCCACCAGAACAACCTGCTGGCTCGTTGCGGATACGTAATTTCACATTCTAACACAGTTTATTTGTACTTGATTGTTGCCAACTACGATGCTCAACAGCTCGCTTAACGGAACTTTGACGCTGGTCTTAGTTTTCTAACATCCATGAAGGCAACATGACAGAGGGAGGCCTGTCACTCAGGATGCCAAACTACTTTTTGGTAAGCCCCGCCCCCCAAGCAATATCAGGGCCAAAAGTTTGAAAGCGAAAAAAAAAGATCTGAAAGCGAAAAAAAAGATCTGAAAGTGAAAAACGATCTGAAGGTGAAAAGCAATGTGAAACCTGAAAAAACAAGATTTGAAACTGAAAAAATAATTGTTTTGAATCTGAAAATGAAAAATCTGTGCTGAAAAAAATAAGGATTCAAATATCAAAATATGTATAAAAGTGAAATCTGAAAATAAATATATTATTCAAAAAAATTGCCGAACTTAATCAAAATAATATTCAACCTGAAAAATTATTTCAAATACTTTTTTTTGTTTTGAATACATCATTGTATTTTTCAAAGTTCAGGATAAAAACTTGAACTTTCAAATAAATTGTATTTTTTTGAATGATCAAAACTTATGACCCTGAAATAGCTCCATAGCACTCCAACTAATGATTATTTTCTAGATTAACCAAATAATCTTGGTCTACAAAATGCAAGAAAGTGTTGATACTCATCCCAGTTATTTTAGTCCAAGGTGATCACTTTTGTCAGTGTATGTCTGGAAAAGTCCCTTTACTGCTTTTCAAGCTCATTCAAAGATGCCTCTTGTTACCTGCCTCTACTCCCCATTCTGGAAAATTGGCTGGAAAATTCAGTTTTTATGTGAATGAGGAAAATAAAAATAGTACAATACCAAAAGACACAAAGAATACAATATTGTTACATTTAGGGGGATGATTCTGCAGGGAAACCTGATCTCAGTATATGAGTGATCTTGGTCAATCGGTATGAGGAGTGCATGCTGTAAAGATATGTAGTAGTGTGCATTTACATTTAGGTCATCTGCATATTCTTTCTGAGCTAATATTCATAACCACCACACTTAACATTATTTTACAGATGTTGCGACTAACATGATTTTTTTCCCTAAGTGGAAAACCAGATCCATGAACTCCGAACTGTATCCATTGAATACACAAAGCATCCCTAGGGTTGCAGCTCAGAACATCAACATATTCCGTAATTAGCTTTTGCATATGTTACCAACTAATTAAACAGCCATAATTTGATTTAAAAAAACAAACAAATGATATACACTGTTTGATTTATGTTGCAGGCACAAAGAGGGGAAAGTGCAACTAAAAAATGTAGAGTGTCCTTAATCCAAAGGGCAAGTTTAATCATTATAGGTCAAAAGGACAGAACAGAAAGTCACAGGCCAATATAATCACTGTTTCACACTGAAATTGATTCACGCTGCAGAAAATGCAAAAATGTCATCCCACACTGAATATTTATCAGTCAAAATGGGTGTCTAGGCAACATCAATCACAAACATAAACGCCTACCAAGTGCATGCTGGAATAAAACAAATTCAAGAGCT